GCCGGCGAGATCAATGAGCGAGAACTTGCCGAACAGTTTGTTTGACGTGCGTTTCTTCAAGATGAGCTAAAAAGGGGGGGGGGGAGAGAGCGATGTTCTAACTGCCTGCAGAATGAGTTGCACACTAGCACGCATCTGATGCTGGTGAAGGAGACAGGACACAAATAGTGGAATCACAAAATGTCTGGTTTGGGAGATAAATTGACCAGCGCAGTGGACATATGCTTAAAAGAACCGAGGCATAAAAACAAAGTGCCAAAAACGATATTTAAGTGAACAGGGGGTGGGGGGAGGTTACAGCTGACAGGTCCGAAAGCCATGTGTTTACTTGAAACTTCTTGCTGTAAAACATACAGTATATGGTCAGATTTCATAAACATTTGGACTCTGGCCACGTAAGTATTATTTCAACTGTCTACTATCGTAAACATGAGCCGAGAGTGACTATGTTCCGCTTTAAATCGAGGGTGTTTACACTCAAGTTCGGTGGCCGTTCGACCGTCGTTCCCAAAGATTTCCACCGTGAGCAACACAGCAGGGTGGGCGCAGGGACGGTGGCTTGCAAGTAAATCAGTGATTGTGATAGCAGACTTGGACTGCGTCTATCGCATTCTGCCCTTCCTCGCCCTCTTGGGCCCGGCACCAAGATAAAGTCAAGATGACCGGAGGCGGGATCGAAGGCATGTTGCTAGTGCGACGTGAGCTTGTGCCTTGACGTGCCATCGCACTGCCCTATCATATACGGTATTTGTTATGGATGCGCGGCCCAACAGCGCGTGCCAGACCCTGACCTGGCTTCCGTGTTGGTCCAGCGAAGCCCCTGTGTGTCCCGCTGTGGCGGACGGAGCGTAGAAATAACAGCACCCTCGAAAGTGCATATTTGATTTCAAGTGTGGCATTCGCATTTAGAATCCGCTGCTGGTAACCCTCAATGTGAAGCTGACAGTGCTGCCACTGATACTGCATCAGACTACCATTAGGCTAAAAAACTTAATTAACCCTGTCAGAAAGATAGGATGGACATTAGGTGCAGCAAAACCATCTGTCTGGCACAACCTTAAAAGGGAAGAATGGCCTAAGGAATGCCAAAAAAACCCATGAGAACCATAGAAAACAACTTGGGTTGAAGACGGAAGTTTTTTCTCTGGTGACGATTGGCCAGATCAAGAATACGCTTCAGGAGACAATGACATATGAGTAAACTCGGACACAAGTCGCTGGCCACGTTTCAGAGACATGAACGTCGGAATAGGATTTGCCAAAAAACGCTTAAAAATCCTGTGTATTGTTAGAAGATCATCCGATGGACAGGTGGGACGAAAACCGATTTGTGTCGGAATGGCGGAAATGAGAGCGTAAGGATAAGGGAATGGACTGCTTACTATCCGACGCATGAAATGTCATACGTGATGCATGTCTTTCTAAGGTAAAGAAACGTACTGGACTGCAATGACAGTGTCAAGTGCCAGTCCTGAATACACTTGTGCATGCACCAAAGACAACATCACTAAAGCCCAGGTCGGGAACAATCTCGCAACTAGTCACCTCCGTGTGCATGGACTACAGGCATTCATTTATTGCGAGGTATTTCTAAACCAGTACTAGCGCGCACCCCTAAACTCATCAGGTGTCATTTTTCTCAATTACACTAGACCTTCTCGGAAAGGGATGTAAATGCCCTCAAAGTAAAGACGGACGTCTGTAATTTTAACTGCCACTCGCCATTTACGTTCAGCTCCACTATTCTGTGGAAGGCAGAAAAACGACAATAATTTTGCTGATATCCAAATAATGATGGCTTAATTTGTATATGAATGAGAATTTTTTGTGCAGTACTCACTGGCGACTGTCGTCTAATAAATGACACGACCTCAAAAAGACAACTAATCTGTTAGACAGATTGCCGAATGGCAAATAGGGTCATCCTAGCTGGCTCTACATACCTGTTTTTCTTAATTTTCTATATAAGTCTTTGCGCGTCCTGGGCAATTGCAATGGAGACAAAATACAAAACCGAATTTGGATGTTGGCGTCTCTGAGCTGATGATGTCAGAATATGCACAAGAGATCCTTAAATACTGTGACTTTCACTGGTGTTAATGAAACCCTATGACTGCAAGAAAGTGCGCAACTGCAGCGGATAAGACGGAGCACAGTTGCAAGCACGCTCGTTGACTGAAATAAGAGTTTAATTGGGCTGAAGTTCGCGAGTCAATGTTCGAATCTTCTGCCTGACAGACGTATGGAGGCACCGGAGACGCAGCAGTGATATAAGGCGCTCTACTAATGCTCGACAATCGGGGACTCAGACAAATCCTACCTGCCAGCACCCACGTGCCTACATAGCAACCACAATATACAGTTCCCTATGCTTCCTTACCCTCCTACACCCACCATTCCCAATGGAGTGTTCAAGCATGGAGCCCCGCATTCTAGGCAAACAAGCCGTTTGTTCCAGAAAAGTGTACATTATCTCAGTTACTACCCCCATAACTCGCCTATTCGCGTACATCGAGCCTTTCAACTCACAAACGGACTACTCTGGAGGATCTGGAGCGTAAGAAAAAACTACTGCATAGCTATGAATATAAAACGGGTGGTACCAATAAAAACAAATGTCTTCGTGACTTTCAGAACAAAACGGAGGGACTGCCCTGTTACTTCGCTGAACGCAGGCTGAGTCGAGGAAAGCACAAGCCTGAATGACTTAAGGTGAGAGTATGCCACTGGCAAAAGTCACGGTTAGCAAATCCAAAGAAAAACGCGAAGCGGAGTGGGTTTTCGCACCCCACACTGTGGGCCTTCCGCGCCCCAACGAGAAATTCAATGACGGGGTATGCGAGGGCAGGCGATAAACAACGTTCTCGGTCCCGAAATTTTGGAATGAGAAACTGTCCCTAGCGAGATAAAGGCAGTTGTTTCACCTTGCATAGCGAGGCCTTATGCGGCCAGGAGTTGGACAAGCTGGTGAATACACGATTTCCTGCTTGGTCCATCAGTGGGGACTACGTGAGATAGGTCTTTTGCAATTCGGACCGACAATGCCATCACCGGCTTGGGAGGAGGTTTGGGCGGTGGTGGTGGTGGTGGTGGGGGGCTTGGGCAGTGGTGGAACTGGGGATGATGCTGACCAGACAGCCTGTCGGCGTCTACGCCGTTTTTCTTCCCTCCCCCCACCCCCCTTTATAGTATGACGTTGTGAACGCGATAGCACACTAAGCAAACAAGCGTTTTTTTAGGGCTGCGAATACTTTCCATGACCAACTGAGAGACAGGTAATGCGACGAATAAAAACTACCTGGAAATGTCAAAAGCCCCGGCAGCAAAATCTGCAACAAATGGACGCCCACAGAATAAGTCTGGGATGACTCATGTGGGCACAAGACAAGGCGCTGTAACATACAGCTGAATGGGTGGAATAAGCAGACATTGGACAACGGCGACGATGGTCGGATCCTGGAGCCGTAAGAGGGGCATGTAAGCAAAAAAATAAATGAGTTTTGCGTGGCGCACCACTAACTACAAGCTGGCCATCTTAAGCAACGAGATTCACCGCTGCTTCACGCGCGTGCCACACACCATGCTCTCCAACTCTACACGCAATAGGCTTCATTCAGAGTGACTCGAATCTCACGCATGTGAGTGTGTGCCATAAAGGCAGCGCCAATGAGTCATTGTAGCCTGAGCCTCGCTTCAGAGGTCGACGGGGCTAGGCTGTTAACCGGTAACCCTTCAAGTCACAACTTCTGGCGCATCCTGATAGGTCAAAAGACGTCAGAGTGAGAAATTCACTGATTCGTCAAAAGAATGGGCATGTTAGGACTAGCCTCATTTTACACCACCTCTCTCATGATCCTCCGGTCAGTTGATAGGCTGGATGCAGTGGCTGAAGTGGCAGAGAGGGTGGCCGCGGTTAAGCACTTACATAAATTCAATGAAGCCCGACTAAAGCAGGGCCCAAGGTACTGTGGTCTAACATAACGGTGGGGAGGACCGCTAGGGGTGATAAGTCCGCTAGTCACATATCTTCATGAGCTGTGGATTGATCGGTTAAAGTGGCAAGAGAAATGAAACCCTCGCCTGGGCTTTTATCCTCTTGAAGTGGACTGGAATTATTCGCGAAAACATGGGTGGCTGCAAGCGGTAGCAGCAGGGAAACTAATATCCTTTCTGATTGCCAGAAATCGGTTGCTTACATCCTCAGCATCCACCTAACAGAGCATTAAGGTTGCAAGAACCACGGTAGAAAAATGGATTTTTAGCCATACGATGCAAATGAGCCAGGCGCATGTAGTTACCCTGACAATACAGTCTCCGTTGATTTCAGGGATAGTCAGAGTAAAATCTGACCAAATCCACTTCTGATTAATTCTTCTGTGGTACGAAGGAGAAAAGTTCCTCATCTACCTGCAACGGGTGACATCTAGCAGCGTAAAAAGCCTTTTACTCAGCCCAATCTCGAAGTCCAAAGCCAATGTCGTTGCATACACCCGGTAGAAATGAGATTGAGTTGCATGAGCTGCAACTTTAAATTCTCGGGTTTGAACTGACAAAAACGCTGTTTTTCCTGGATTCCACAACAATGCGCGGACAGGGAGGGGATGCTTTCTGTCATAAAGGGACAATTGTTCAAAAGGGGACACCTCCCGGATTTTTGCCGGATCACAGCCGAAAAGCAAGCAGGCTGTGTTAACAGGGTATTTTAAGGAGCAGTCGCCAAACATAAACTGATGTCGGGGGAATTTATTTGCTTAACTCTTGCAAACAACAGTAGAAATGGCCGTCTCTAAAAGATCAGCAGCCAGTGTTTAAAGAAAACAGCTCACCTGAAAGACGGCGTGAGATCGACTGGAATGTTGATTTGCGGAGGTCTGACCACTAGTACGTATGTCGGCCCCGTGACGCAGGAGATGAAGTACATCATCCACAGAGTGCACCGGTTCCATTCGAAGTCCAACAACTTGGACCTGATTCTTTCCATCTTCGAGGACCCTGAGTTTTGCTTTCTTGTTGAGCAAATCAAACACCTGATTGGCAAAAAACAGACAGCACACTTACTTGCCTTTATCCAAAACAAACTCAAGTACATCACAGTAAATTTTATGGCAACTCACCTTGCCACTGTAAATCTCAAAGAAGGCGGCCTCGACACAGAGGTCTTCGTGAGAGTACTTGGTGGCGTTCAGGTGGAACACATCGCGAGCTAAAAACAAGGAACAGTTAAGGCCATCGAAAAACAGAAATTGTGTGTAAGAATAATTTTACCAAGCTGACACAGGCCGGATCACGCAATTCTGCTAAAAATTTCCGTAATCGGCAAAGTAGAAGTTTCCAAAAGGTTACTATCAAACATACCGGCCAGTGCATAAATGCCATTTGAACAGTCCTGTAAACCGCGACCCTGGAACTCGCCTCCCATGGTGTGTGTTTTTCCGGAGCCGGTTTGTCCGTAGGCGAAGCAAGTTGCCATGCCCCTCTCGAAAATACATTCCACCAGAGGTTGAGCGGTATAGCGATAGACCTGTGGGGAGGATGATGGATCTATCAATCAGGACTGCCTTTACCTCATATATTAGTTTAGAAAGGTATGAATTGATCAAGAACTTCAGGTAAAGTAACGGCCTTCGACAGATGGGTGTGGACAGGGCAGGGAGCTTAGCAGTCATCAGGTGTTTGCAACTATGATTTCTTCAAGCGTTAAGGCTGAGTCATGGGAGTGGCTTTAAGGAGACTGGCAAGTTCGGTAAAAGGTGTTTGCAGTCTAATGGTTGGAATATTCACAACCAATGGCCCTAAGGTGCCTTGTTTTAATATGCATGCGCATAGAAAAAGGCGAAACAGGTAGTGGGTGATAGAGTCAATTGAAGTTTTACTGGTGATGAAGCCGAAGCACTTTGGCTGCCCATGTGGGAACTTGGAAAAAAGACAATGACTAGAGCACACTGACACTTGGGACAAGTACTTAGAAGGTGGTCTGAGAGGCATCACCCGTCCCAACGTGGCACATATCGGAGGATCCAAACAAGCTTCTGTAATAAAGTTATATGAAATGCGCAAGAGTTGACTATGAAGAGGATTACTGAAATTTTTTTAACTGAATTTTTTTTAACTGCAGTCGGGTTGTTTCCCAACTGGTGTCGGTAGAAGACAAAGCTGCACAAAGTACTTTTTGTGGAAGTGAAACGCACTGGCAGCCCCGGAGGCCACATCGTTTGCAGCGAATATCCAGAAGAATGACCGGATGGATAAACTGAATACTAAGAGAGTAGAAAAAGCGTAATTTTGTCAGGGAACAAAAACGGGCGCTTTCAAGTTGCGAAGGAGAAGGCTCTGTGCGCGCCCCAGTGCACAGCCGATTACACCGAAAAGATTCCCACGAGAATACGCCCGGTTACAAATGAATCACGCGGTTACGTTCAGTGCGGCGACTAGTGTGGATGCTGTTACCTAAGCCAGTGTTCTAACGCCCCGTGCCTTTAAATGCATCAGACAGGCAAGTAGAGGAACGTAAAAGGTCCAGGGGTTCGTTGGTCGATCAAGACAAAAAGAACGGACATGGACCAGAATTTGAGAATCACATCAAATTTTAAAACCGCAGGAATTTGGGCACGCGTGCTTTTAAAAAGCCTCCTTATTCCGTTAACGTCTTTTCGCAGCCTTGCCAGGCAGC